GGGGCTTCTGGAGCTGCTGCTGCTCTCCAAGCCCTGTGAGCATCACACGGAGGTTTGCAGGCACAGGTATGTAGGCACAGGGCAGCTCCAATCCCTGCGGCTGCCTGAGAACATTTTTCAGTAGAGATTAAGATTTTTTTTGAGTGCTTTAGATATGGCGGATGTGTAAAGAATAGCCACAGTGATGGACACTGCCTTTGAAATGCCTAGAAGGTGTCTGCCTTTCAATCTTCACACAAAGAATGGCTCTTTAAAGATATTCAATTATCTTTGGAGAGCACAAATTAATTGCTGCCTATTGGGTGTTATGTAGCCCATACAAAAAGCCCAGGAGCCTTTGGTGTGTGCCAGATCCCAAACTGGACAAAGTGGGCACAGCTGGGGATCACTTTCCAGAATTCCACAATTCCAAACAGCCAGGAGACTCAGAGGGCACTGGGGCTTCTGGAGCTGCTGCTGCTCTCCAAGCCCTGTGAGCATCACACAGAGGTTTGCAGGCACAGGTGTGTAGGCAGCTGGATGCAGTGACCTGGACATCTGGACTTGTGCTTTATGACACTTGGTTTTGTTATGCCTCATCTGCAGCAGTCTGGGAGCCTGGTGATATTTTTCCACCCTTGGAGCTTTTGCCAGTGCCAGGGGATAAAGCCAGTCCAGTCAGGGGTGTTGTAGGGACAGGTTCTGGTGAGGATGGGGACAGGCCCTGCAGGCACAGGGAGCCAGCCTATGACTCAGGGCTGTGTGAGGGCTCTCATATGAACCACTGGGACTGGTGAGGATGGAGACAAGAAGGTTTGGAAGAGCTGGTTTGAGTGGGGAAACTGAGGCACGCTTCACCCAAGAGCATGGGGAGGGAGCAGGGCCAAACTGGTGCCCAGCTGCATGAATACAGAACAAGGATCAGTTTTCTAGGGACTGGGGGATGAAATGAATAGTTTGCTTGTTGTGATGTTCTGCTCCTCAGGGTGTGCAGAAGGGGATGAGAGGGGTGAGGCTGGCAAGTGCTGTGCTCTGCCCTGGCTCCTCCCTGTCTCCCCATAGGCAACAGCCCCCAATAACAACCTCTCTCCCAAGTCCCTGAACTGCTCTCAGAGTCCCCACAGGGACAGGCTCTTGTTTGGCCTCTCCTTGGGGCTGCAAAAACGAGGGAAAACTGAGCTTTGAAGAGCTGGCCCCCCATGTAGCACCACCCTGCCCCTGCTCCACAGCCTCCCCTCGCTGCAGGGGTTTTTGGGGGCTCCTTGCACAGAAGGGGGACACGGTGGGGCAGGAAAGGCAGGGATGGGTCGGCCAGGCAGCAGCTGCTCTCCCTGGATCGCTGTCCAGACGGCCCCATCTAGTGGTACAGCTTGTGATGGATTCGTGCTGCGCCGTGGGGAGCAAAACACGACAGGGTTTATTTACTGCATCCCTCCGGGTCCTGCAGGCACACGGAGCCTCTCTAGGGGACTGTTCATTTAGCTGGGGTTTGGCTCGCTAAACCGAGCGAGGCTTGAAGGGCACGACGGGTGCCAGCCCCCCTGACCTTGTGTGACCTTGAGATCATCCCCAGCATCCAACAGATCCTCCCTGAGTGCCAGAGGGGCTGGTGTGGGGCTGCCCCACGGGATCTGTGCACAGCCCTGGCAGAGGGTGCCGTGGGAGCAGATTGTGGCTGCTGGCATTTTGGGAATTCTGAATCCATGGGAGGAATTTCAGAGCTGATGCAAAGATTACAGAGATGAGAGAACAGGAGGATGGAGTCGGTCACGGGACTTTGCAGGCACAGAAGAGCCCTCCCTGTTTTAGAAAGAGAGGGTGGAAAACAGGCTCCAGAAACGGCTCCATTGATTTTTTTCCCCCCAGTGGCCTGATTCAGTGTCTGCCAATGTAAAGCTCAGCTTGGATTCGATTTGGCTTCTGTAAGGCAGGAAAGAAATGTCATTGATCCAGGGTGTCCTTCTGCTTCCTGCTTCAGTTTAACTAGTCCTGATAGCAGAGGGACAAGAACTTGTGCTATGGAAAACACCCAGCTGGGTCTGCTGAGATAGGAAGCAGAGAGTTGGGATCAGGTACCAGGAAAGTCCTGAGAGCACTGCAAGTCCACTGGTGTGTGATGGTGTTCACAGAGGTTTTCAGATTGGGGAAGAGACGAGGATCTGACTCCATGTTTCAGAAGGCTTGATTTATTATTTTATTATATACATTATATTAAAACTATACTAAAAGAATAGAAGAAAAGGTTTCATCAGAAGGCTGGCTAAGAATAGAATAAGAAAGAATGATAACAAAGGCTTGTGGCTCGGGCTCTGTGTCCGAGCCAGCTGGGCTGTGATTGGCCATTAATTAGGAACATCTAACATGGGCCAATCACAGATGCACCTGTTGCATTCCACAGCAGCAGATAATCATTGTTTACATTTTGTTCTTGAGGCTTTTCAGCTTCTCAGGAGGAAAAATCCTAAGGAAAGGATTTTTTATAAAAGATGTCTGCGACACTGGTGCTTTCTCAGAATATTTCAGACATATTCTCTAGATTGACTGGGAACAGATCCTAGAGCATCCACATACAGTAAGGATCCCCCAGGCTTGTTGGGGCAGGTAGAGCAGCAGCTGGGAGCAATAGGGCTGCATTCAGCACTGTTTGTACCAGGGCATCTCTACTCATCAATCAAGCTAAAGGTGCTGTGCAGGCATTCCCAGAGAAGATGCAGTTTTCCAATAAATCCTGAGGTTTCAGGCAGGCAGCAAAAATAAATCACTGCGTTATCACAGTGACATGGACGAGCTCAACTGAGAAGGTTTTGATGGAAACAATAAGTTTGGGCCTCTCTTAGGGCCCATCATCCACCCCCAGGGGTTGGTCTGCACTGTGCAAATGTCACCAGCAGTGTTCCAGTACATTTGCTGTAAACCTTACAATTGCAGTCAAGAACCAAAATATCTGTCCTTGCTCTGCCACAGGCAGCACTAGATGTGCTTAAACACTGGCAAAACCAGGGGTTCAGGAAGGAAACACGAGTTACTGTCTTTTTGCCGCTTTTCCTTCCTCCTTCACTAGCAGCTCCTCCAGTCCCCCACAGGACACCGTGTGCCCTCAGAACCCGCTCTCAGGCTGCTCCCTCCCACCTGGTGCTCTGGCAACTTAAATTCATTTCTCATCCCTCAGTTTCAGGTTATATCTTGGACTTTTTTAACCTCCATGATTTCCCCAATTCCTCCTCTTGGAAGGAAGAGCAGGTGTGTGGCACATTGTCCTGCTCCTCAGCTGAAAATGTGCCCTCCAACGCTGTCCATCCTTACTGGGTTTATGTAACAGCAGCCCAGGCACTTCCCAGGGTTCTGCACACTTTATTCCAGAGCAGCACAGCAGAAACTGCCCCAAGGTGACCTTGAGCAGGCTGTAACTCCACATTTCTATAGCAGGGCCTTGCTGTGCCCCTTCATTAGGCTCCAGATGCAGAAAGGAGTGGGGACAACCAATATCAGGCTTAAATAACCATTTTTGTGCCTGTGGAAGAGCTGCGCCTCAGCTTCACACACATGGACTGTGGATCAGGGCTCACCAAGAGGCAGGGAAACAACCCTCTGTCTAGCAACAATTCCCATGGTGTTAAAGAGGGCACAGAACCAAAACAGAAATAAAAATAGGAGCAGATACCCTCTGCTGAAGCAGAAACACCCTCCAAAAAATAGCAGCAGCAAAGATAGCTGGTACTAAATATTATGTTTACAAGCAAAATACATATGACACCAGATTTTCTGTAGGGAGAAAGAAGGGAAAGTGGAGAAAACCCAGAGTGTGTGTGGGTATTGCAGGATAGAGATGGAAGGGGGAGGTGACAGGAGGAAATGTAGAAATCAGTTACATTTAATTTGAGTAAGAGCAAATACTGCATGCTAAATATATGCATGAAACTTCAGAGCAAAATGAGTTTTAGTTGTATCCTTGATTTTTGATTTATTTGGATTTTAAATCTCAGCTTCCTGGACTTGTAAATTTTTGGGATGGTGAGAAGAAAATCTACAGTGATTATCATCTGGAATGTCTGAGCCTTCTCCAGCACAGAATACAAGGCCAACTGTCCACATCTGCTCTTCATCTATTTTTACACAACTGCTTGTGACTCCTTGGCTTGCTGACCACTCATTTTTCAGCATGTAAGTAAAAATTACAGTACTTTACTCAGACATGGTTGCTGAGCAGGTACAGCTGACACTGAAACCAGAGTTTTGTTAAGTTTTTTTTTAACTAAAAAGGTATTGAGGGAAGAGGAATATGTGCCAAATTAGTCAGACTTTAAGTTGCTGGGTTTGACAAACATTTATTAATGCAAGTCTCGGCAACAGAATTTTTTATTGCAGTTATTTTCAACCAGCAGGAATGTCATAGCTCTACAGCACAAAGCCAGGATGATACACACATCTTGCTCACCCCCTTTCCACACCACTGTGTATCAGATGTGCTCAGAAACATCCTGTATAGATGGTTCCACCCTCTCCACTTCTGAGACTGCACAGCTCAAAAAACTGGTAGCATGCTCCACTCCCCCCTAAATTATTCCATCTGTAAAGCACAAATAACAAAATATATTTTTACTTCTAAGAGCTTCACTTATCTGCAGAAAAATAGAACTGCTTAAGAGTGAGCGAGTTCGATTAAGGGTCCAAGTACACACCCTCTGGACCTCCCAAAAAATTGTAAGGAAGAAGCATTCACAACTTGATCCAACTAAAAACGGAGCCAGCCAGTGTTCAAGGAAAGGAGATTCATCCTATCCAAAATGCTGAATGCCTTCTCATCCTTCTCTCTAGAGCAGGATAAAAAAGATGGAGCTGTAGCTGTGAAACTTTTCTCTAAGCATGGAGATACATTAAGAATGAACATTCCAAACACATCAAAATATCAGAAAAAAAATAGAAGTTTTTTTGGTTTTGTTTGGTTTTTTTCCAAAACATAGTGAAAACAGCATACAGAGCTTCAATATCCACAGCACAAACCAAAAACCAAACAGAGCTCATTTGATCTAGAGTGCTTTTGTTAAGGTATTCAGAGACTTTAGTGCATTCTTTTTAGAACTAAGCTCAGAAACTATATTTAATTTTTCCTTTTATTAGAAAACTAAACTGTATGAGGCAAAGAAACATTTAGTCAAACACACAACAGTGAAAACATGGCACTGACAAGGCAATTAGCCCAACCATTGTATCCAACTCTGCTTCAGGATTCTCTATTGCTTACAGTCAAGTATACATCATCTCTGCCATGTGAGACATTTTCTTGGGAATATATAAGTAGTACTCCATGTATCCCGAAAGATCTTCAATAGTCACATCATCCACAAAGGCTCGAGCTTGCTCAGAACAAGACCTGGGAGAGCTTGCTGAGGCTGTTGCAGAGGGAGATCTGTTCTGGAGGGAGTGGGCATGGACTCCCAGGACAGCCTTCTCGCACTCGGACAGGACGCTGCGCAGCCCCGAGAAGGAGTACACCTCCATGGCGCGCCACTGCTGGCACTGGCACTTCCTGTCCCTGCAGGGGCACTGCCTGCCCTTGCTGAGCATGGATAAGGACTGGAAATCTGAGGTTTGCAAGCTGTTCTCAAAGGATGAGGAGAGAGCGGGGCAATTCTCCCCCAGCAGCTGCAAAGGCTCTTCGGCGGTGAAAGCTTCCAACGGTTCAGTTCTGTCGTTACTGGCCTCAAGGTGCAAATCCTGCCCGTCCTTCGTACCATGTTCTGCTGGGGCAAAAACATCGGAGCTGATGACACCCTTCGAGGTGTCTGCCTGGGCTTTGTGTTTCAGCTGGCTGTTGGCTTTCATGTTGCAATAGGTGAACTTGGGAGGGTGCAGGACCGGAGACTTGGAGCGCCGGCGCCGCGGGAGCCTGGCCGATCCTCGGGAGGGCTTTCTCACACACCTGCAGGGTTCAACAGGGGAGCAAGTGGGTAACTCCACAATCTACAGCCCAGTAAGCTCGAAAATGTCATTAAAAACATTTTACAAGGTTATTTTTCTGCTCAGAAACACCAGATGATTGGACACTTACAATCTCTGACACAAACTGTGGAGGACTCTGAAGAAATTCGGGTTCCCCCAAAGGGAAGATACACACAAGGAACCCTTACTCAAGGTGCTTCCCCCCAAGTCTTCTGCCTTAAGCAGATGATACTCTGTCATCCCAAACTCAACTGTAGTGCAGAACCTGGGTCAGCTGGAGCTGCTGGCAGAGTCACACTGAATATCCAGGTACTTCAAAAGCAACAAAAGAACCCAAGAGTGAGGTGAGAGGGGGTTGCAAAGGTTTAAGACTTGAAGAAAAGTATTACTGATGATATCAACAGAAAAGAAAGTTTTGGGAACCCTCTCTAAGAGAAGAAGCAATATTGTTTTTAAAGACTTTGATGAGATCAAAGAACAACATATCAGTTATGGAAACATTTTGTGATAGAAAGGAAAGATATCTTGAAGCAACTAATTAACAACAAGTGGCAGTGAAAGCAGCCTGTAACTGTTCAATGTGTCATGTTTTACCCATGCCATGCTTCCTTGGAGCTGACAGGCTGCTGCTTGGCTCCATCCATGGCTGCTCTTGTCACAGTTCTGAGAATGGTCCCGTCGCCCACGGACAGAGCTGCGATACATCTGGGTGAAAAGGGAAATGCCACATCACACAAATGCCTGAACACACAGCTCCAGAGGCCCACAGCCAGCCCCTGTGCTCTGAACACTCAGCTAAGCCCATCAAATCTGCTCCCTCTGTAGTCAGTGGGTAGAAACAGAGCCTTAGAGAGATTTATACAACCCCTCTTACTATACTGGCCTGGTCAAGTGGCTAAAGATAGGTGAGATGAAATGAAAGGCAGCCAAAATGCCCAGAGGTTGATGTCATGCCCTATTTGTACTAAAATGACACATTAAAGGAATGTAAACTCAGGTTCCAAACGTTCCTGTCAGACAATAGTCATTAAAGACAGTCTCCTACTCCTCTGAAAGCAAAGCCAGGCACCTGGAGCAGCAGGCTGAGGGGGAGTCAGTGGAGAAGTGGAGGAGGTACAACAGGCAAGGACAGATTGCTGATTTATTTAGTTCTCATTAAATTTTTGAGATAAGCATGGAATGACAAAAGCATCTGATCCTAGAGGTCTAGATGACAAACATAAATGCCTCAGCATAAATGCCTCAAACTATAAATACAAATGAATTTGTATTTATAGTTATGATGGCTGCACGTGTGATGTGAACACAGGAAATTGTAAGAAACGAGGCTGAAATTCAGCAAAGAGCCCAAATACTCTGCCCAAAGTTGATCTTAACAGATTAGTCACAAGATTTGAGCTGTTCACAACACATGCCTGCAAAACAAGATCTTTTTATGCCTAAGATATCATCAGGAATCAACCAGAAGCCCACACAGTCTGCCAGAGGTACTACATCAAAAGTGCTATGATTAATAACCACAGTTCCTTGATAGAGAACAGCTATTTTTTTCCACATTGCTCAGAAGACATCCCAAAGAAGAGGGAGAGAGTAGCAAAGCAAAATATATTCCCACATGCAGAGGAAAACCTGAATTCATAGTGCTGATGGCTGTGGGGATGAATTCACAAGGTAACACTGTCAACACAAAATTCCTCTTGTGTTTGTAAATTCCCAAAAGACTTCAAGTCAAAAGAACAGTCTCAGTGTTAGACTGCATAATTTTATCAGCTCTTACACTACATATTACCAGCACACCCAGTATCTTACTGAGTAAATTTTTATAGTAAAAATGTTTGCAGACTCCACAAAATGCCCCTGAAATCAGAAATGCTCAGAGCTCATATTTGGCCTGGCCCTTCACAGTGACACTGGGCTCCCCAGCACACTCTGAGGTGTTGGTTCTGCTTTCCAGACACCTTCCAAGCAAAATTCTCTGCACTAACTAAAGGTTTATAATGTGGCTGCAGACACCAGTGTTTACAGGGACAGATAAACAAATTCTGTGTCACACCAGGTGACCACAGCTATGACAGTTAAAAGTGGGTTCACTGCTTTTGGTAAGTCTTTTCATGCTTCCATGCAGTCACTGTGTGATTTCAGTTGGATATTAGTCAAAATTACTCTGTAATAAAGTATTCCTTTGTATATTAGACAGTTATAATGACTATTTCATCTGAAGGGATGCAGTTCAGAGAGAGCAAAGAACCTTTCACCAAAATGACTTTTTCTTTTTGAAATGTAAAATAATAGAAAAAAAATACAAATATGTAATAAAAACCTGACAAATGACATTGCCTTTTTTGTTGCTCACTTACCCTGCTGCATCCACTCTCAGCTTTTTGAATGCTGTTTGTAGACTCTCCTCCTCTTCATCTTTAGCTTCCAAGTCCATTGATGTGCTCTCAGTGGGTAACCAACCGTGCCATATAGAATAAACTGAAACACAGACATTGGGATTTGATAAAAGGTTTGAACATAGATACTCTGTACAAAACTGACTGACACCGTAATGGGTGCTCATCCTTCTGTGGGCAGTGCTACTGACCAGACCCACCCTGGGCTTTTCACGGTGAACCCTATGTCAAAAATATCAAAATGTCTTTTTATCAATGGGTGAATACAGATCCTGGCAACCTGTGTAACTCTGAGCTGTGAGCATGGCACCCGCAGCAAAGCTTCAGAAAGGTTTCAGGAGTCACAGGATGGTTCAGGTGGGCAGGGATCCCTGGAAGTCCCATTCTCTTGCTCATGGAAGAGAAACCCCACGCTGGTTTCCCAGGACCATGTCCAGGTAGCCTCTGAATAACCCCAAGGAGGAAGACTCCAGAGACTCCCTGGACAGCGTGTGTTCAGCCACCCTCAGAGCAAAGCGTTCCCTTGGCTAAGACAGCGTTTCAGTGTGTGCCCATGGTGCCCGGTCGGGTCCGCAGGCACACCGAGCAAAGCCTGGCTGTCCCCTCCGTGCCCACCCTTCAGGCATCTCACACCCAGCTGAGATCCCTCCCGAGCCTTTCCTCA